CCGACGCCCCCGCCCCGACCGGACCGGCGCCCGCGCACAGCACTCCGGGCAGAGGCGCGGAACAGGAAGTACCCAGCGCCGGCCAGGGCAGGACTCCAGGGGCAGAGAGGGTTACCCCAGAACCCGGACACCCTGACGGTGGGAACCCCTTTCTGCCAAGTACCAGAGGTACTACTGTGTTGGCGAAACTGCCTACCCTCCTGGCGCCCATGCCCCGCCCACCTTAGCACCATGCCCCGCCCACCCTGCCTTCTTGTCCCACCCACCTCACATTATGCCCCGCCCACCCCGCCGCCAGGCTCCCCCTGCCCTCCTGGGGAATCGTTCCCTGCTCCCTGCTCTGGCTGCAGCAAGCAGGACAGTGTAAACTGTCCCCTGGTACATTAACATCCGCCCAAGCAGTCATTAACAGAGTCGCAATTGATTTCTCCAGAATGATTGCTATTGCGCAGGGAACTTAATGGAATCCCAGGGTCATTTTTCATTAAAAAGAAATGCGGTGGGTAAGCAAAAGGGAAGAAAGCACGCTCTCCACTAGCACAGGACCGCTCCAGTCACCCTCCCATGGAGATCTCCAGGAGCCTGTGATGGGAGCACATGGCATTCGAGCTGGTTAATCAGCCAGCAGAATGGAGACCGAGGCTTATTAGGCAAATGGAGCATGATGGATGTTTTATTTCAACAGTGGAGTTGGGAGAAGAGGGGAGGCAGGGAGGAGTTTGCAGCAACAGCTGGCCAGCTGGATAAAGCTGGTCAGGAGGGGCCAGGTTCTGGTGTTTGAGCAAGGGGAGGGGACACTGGGGACCCCAGCACCTGTGAAGAGCAGAGGCAGGGAGGTGTAAACAGTAGGAATTGTAGCTCCAGTTCACAGCAGTAACAGGTTTCCTTTACTGAATCAGAAACCTGCAAAGGGTACTTTGTGCCTAGTACCGACATGTCCCAAATGGTAAGGCTTAAACCAGATCAGGGACAACACAGGCTGAGCAACATTCCTCATTCCCCGTGGGGCTGTTTCCTCCCCGGGGGGCGGGAGGGCCTGCCTTGCTGGGTTGCCCTTCTCTTCAGGAGGAGGGACAGCTGTGGGCTGTGAGCTGGGGGGAAAGCGGAGGACACAGGGGGCTGCGGCCATGGTCTCAGGACAGCCAGTCTCCTGCCCTGCAGCCTGGACGAAAGGGTGACTGAAGACTGTAGGAGGGGAGGAGCCCGTTTCCCAAGGGCTGGCCGGAAGTCTCCTGGGGAGGGAAGCTGGTCAGTTCCAGCTGTCCTTGAGCACCAGTCAGGCCCTATGTCACCTCGCTGAATGAGCCCCAACGGTCTGCCAAGTGCCATGGCCACCTGAGAACTGTCACTATCCTCCTTGTGCAGATGAGGAAGCCAAGGCTCAGAAAGGTCAAGGGACTTGCTCAGAGTCCCCTTGGCAAGTGAGTCTGGGCAGGGGCAGACATGGGCCCACGCTGGCCTGACTCGAACTTGGGCGTGGATAAAAGGGCACTTAGCAGGCTCCTGAGGGACGGTTTTTACTGAGTTCATCTTTTTTCTCTTTGTCTCCTTTGGGACATGCTGGCACGTCCCAGAAAAGAAACTCGTATCTTCTGCTCTTGAATGCATTTGTCGTTCAGTAGACTTTAACTGGCCCAGCCCTAAGCACCTGGCATGTGCACTCAAAGCTGAACCGGACCCAGACCCACAGGGACCTTGGGGGTCTGGCAGCCTAGGAAGGCCGCAGAGGGGACCGATGTGGGATCTGCAGTCGGGGCTGCGACTTGTGTCTTGGCTCTGACCTTACGGCTCTTCTAGCATCCAGGACAACTGCTTTAACTCCTCCAAGCCTCAGTCTCTCTACCTGTACAATGGAAATAATGTTCATCTACTTTCCGGGGCTATTGGAAGAACTGAAAGAGAGCTCAGGTCCACGAGCCCTTATCCAAATTCCTTGGGGCCAGACGTATTTCATGATTCCGAATAGATTTTTTGGAATTTAGAGAGGGAATATGGTGGAAATACCACATGCTTCACATCGCTCCAGCGCGATCTCGGACAGGGCCCCGTAATCAAATGCATTAACATTTCTGCAGGAAAACTGATGAATATTCACAGTCCATGGGTAAATAAAGACTAAAAATAGTTGCCAGATGAATTTTTAAAAAGCTTTTGGTGTTCAGAGTGTTTGGGATCCCAGGATTGTGGATAAAGGCTCTGGGTGGTAATGATAGTTACTATTTACGAGCATTTACTGATTTACATGAATTAACTCATTAGATCCTCGCAGCAACTCCATGAGAGCAGGGACCATTATTATCCCTGTCTTGTAGTCGAGGCTGAGAGACCAGAGAGGTTAAGGCACTTGCTCGTGAGCACACACATGCTAAAGGGCAGAGGCGGACTGGACCTAGACAGGCAGGCATCTGCACCTGTGTCTTTGCTCAGGTTAGAATCTGACAAGGGGTGGGGCTGCTGGAGGGCCTCAGACGGCCCCCAAGCGGCCTTCCTGGTGTGGTGGGCCAGCACAGAGGGGAGCCACGACTTCCAAGGCCTCCCACCCTCTTTCTACCAGGGCTGGAAGTGGAGCCAGGTTTCCAGACTATCCAGCGGCTTCACACACACACACACACACACACACACACACACACACACACACACTCTTTGATCCCTGCTTCTAGCTTCTGCCTCCCCAGACCCACCCAAAACACGCTGGCACAGACTGAGGTGTTAGGAAGGAGAGCGGGCTGCTCACAGCATCCGGCCTCCTTCCTGCCTCTTCTCTCCTGCTGTGTGGCACCCCCACCATCTCCTGAGGCACCCATCTGCCTTTCCCCAGGGGATTTAAAGGGGACGGTAGCTGTGAGGGGATGTCCCCAGGCAGCAGAGGCCTCCCTGGTTCCTGACCCAGGCAGCATGACTTCCTCCTGACCACATATACACAGACTGAGGTGAAGGGAGGCCCAGACACCAGACCTGGAGTCAGACAGGTCCGGGTTTAAATCCTAGCTCCTTCTCTCACCAGCCTGGTGAGTGATGTCAGCCCCTTGAGGCCTAGAGAGAGTAACGGGTACTCGGAGGGGTGGGGCACACTTGTGAGTTGACAAGTTAGCTGGAGCCAGAGTGACCGGCCTGCCCCTCCAGGGAACTTCCTGCCAGCCTCTCCCAGCCCTTGGGAAATAGGTCCTCCAGCCACCTGGGAGCAGAGCCCCGGTGCCCAGCACGGGCCTTCACAGGCTGCTGCGGAGGGCTCCCCTCCCAAAGCCTTCGGTCACCCTTTCCTCCAGGCTGCAGGAGAGGAGACCAGCTGGCCCGAGACCATGGCCGCAGCCCATGTCCGCCCCTGCCCCAAGCTCACAGCCCACAGCTGTCCCTTCTCCTGAAGAGAAAGGGCACCCCAGCAAGGCAGGGCCCCCTCCTGGGGAGGAAGCAGCCCCACAGGGGTTTCCTTGGGGAGCGAGTGGTGGTGTTCATCTGGCTTAAGTCTTGCCACCTGGGAGGGACACTCACACGGCAGCCTCAGTAGTTCCCTCGTCCACCAGCTGTTATCCTCGGGCCTCGCAGGCGATGGCCCAGTGGTGCTCTTCAGAAAGCGGGGAGGCTGGGCCTGGGGCCCACCCACCGCCCTCTCACAGGAGATGGGGGTGGGGAGGGTCGGGGCTGCGAGCCCTGGAGCCGCGGCCCCAGCCTTCTGTCTGCCAAGAGGAAACTGCTCTTTCCAGCCGGACGGTTTATGGTTCACCTAAACAGGGTTGTGAGGCAGGAGCCTGAGTGTGAGCTCCAGCCCACCACTGACGGGCTGTGTAAACTTGTTCCTCTCTTTGACCCTCCGTTTCTTCATCTGTAAAATGGGAATGATAACTTCTCTTACTTTGTAATGATTAAGCAAGGTCACTGAGTCAACAGCATAGACTGACTGAGCCCCTGCGATGTGTCAGACAAGCTCCCGAACACTCCATGTGGAGGATTCAGCAAACAGACATGGCTCTGGCCTCCCCTGGGTTATAGTCTGTGGGTCAGCAGACAGTCAAGGTGTAATATAACAAAATACAATGAAAAGAACTTGGCTTAACTATTTACAACAGCCAAAACATGGAAACAACCTAAATGTCCATCGACATGACTGGATAAAGAAGCTGTGGTATATTTATACAGTGGAATGCTACTCAGCCATAAAAAAGAATAAAATAATGCCATTTTCAGCAACATAAATGGACCTGGAGATTGTCATTCTTAGCGAAGTAAGCCAGAAGAAGAAAGAAAAATACCACATAATATCACTTATACGTAGAATCTAAAAAAAGGACACAAATGAATTTATTTACAAAACAGGAACAGACTCACAGACATAGAAAACAAACCTATGGCCACCAGGAGGGGAAGGGGATGGGAAGGGATAAACTGGAAGTTTGAGATTTGCAGATACTGACTACTATACATAAAATAGATAAATAAGAAGTCTCTACTGTACAGCACAGGGAACTATATTCAGTATCTTGCCTTAACCTATAATGAAAAAGAACATGAAAATGAGTATGTATGTGTATGTATGACTGAAACACTATGCTGTACACCAGAAATTGTACACCACTGTGCAATACTTCAATAAAAAACCTGACTATACCTCAATTAAAAAAGGAAAAAAGAACTTGGCTAGTAAGTAATAGTTCTTTTGTACCATTAGGGGTGGGGCAGCTGTGCTTAGTTTATTAAACATTAATTACTTAACATTAACAT